ACAAATAAGGAAAGCGAAAAGCCATTCCCAAAATCAGCAGCAGAACAAACTTCTCCGCATTCTGGTCACACTTCCAGCTAGTAACGCTACTTCCGAAAGAAGTTTTTCAACCCTTCGCCGGTTAAAAACATGGTTGCGTATTTAGTACCATGAATGAAGAAAGACTGATAGGTCTAGCACTTATACACGTACATACACTTAGATATTGAAATTGACACTGAAAGCATAATAGAAAGAATCGTAAAATTGAATATGCAACTTAATTATTACAATAAAAATTGTGAATAAGTTGTTAAGTTACTTAATTACATCCTTCATTTTACCAACATTAGGAGCGTTCCTTATCTCCCAGAAATAGCCAGAAAAAGTCCGAAGTAGTCAGATTTAGTCCAAAAAGCGTTCCTTAACTCGGAAATGACAGCTAAAATGAGCGAACAACACCCAGTGAGAGTAACTCTCATCAGTCCGAAGTAGTCAGATTTAGTCAGAAGAATTTTTTCTGGCAAAATCCTGAAAAGTGTCAAACTCAACTAAATTTAAATTAACGGAAATTAAAGATTATGCAAAAAGTGAGAATATAAAAAGTAAAAAAAGTGAATTGAAATTGGAAGGAGGCAAAAAATAAATGATATAGTAAGTGTTTATTGTGCTTGTGCTTGTGTGAATGTGTTTTGTACATACATTTCCATTCTTATTTGACGTTAGCTTTGTTGTTGCCATTCCTTGGACTAAACATTTGGTTTTTTGCGTTCCTTTACTTTCCCTGTTATTCTCTTTTAGTGAGCGCATTTTGCTTACGCTCTGGCATTTTGACACTTTTCAGATTTTAGTCCAAAAAGATAAGGAATGAACCTATTGTAAGCAAGAAATAAGTATTTATATGTATATAGAATCTCAGGGTTAAACTGAAATGTCTAAACGAGGAAAGCCAAAGGTGGCGCATTCCCGAAACCGCTACTTTGGTTTTGCCGACTTTGACATTTATGGCAATACGTAAACAAACTTTTTGTTTAGAAACAAGTGCAAACGTATTGCAAACGTATTGTGTACTTTCAAGTGAAAAATCGAAGTAATTCGTGCGTTCTGAAGTAAAAAAGTTTTATTTGTAATAAAAACTTTATAAAAATGTCGTCATGTGTTGAATTGCAGCAGCCGTAGGGGTAAAGCCCCCAAATTCAGTTTTTTTTTTATTTCCCCGCGACGACGCCTTGGCCAGAAAGTGGGTAGAGTTCTGTCGGCAGGAGAAGCCATACAATTTAGACATCAGCGTAATATGCATGAAGCACTTTACGGACCACTTTTAAACACGACATGTTAAGTTGAAAACGTTGAAATACCACAAATTACAAATTAAAATCGGAGGTAAGCAAGCATACCAAATTTGTTTAATTTGGACAGGCCGTTTGTTTATTATCCGGAAAGGACTTTTATTTTGGAATAATATTCGCAACAACGCTGCTTTGGACACCAACAGTCAGCGCTGCCAGCGGAATAAATGCAGAATACCTACAATTCTCAAATTAAAAAAACAAAAAATGAGGATCGATAGAGATCATTGAGCTGAACAGAACGGTATATTTTTTTGAGGGGCCACAACAACTACAAGAGTTATTAAAGGTCGAAGTTCAAATTAAGCAATTTTTTAAATCAAAATTTCTCAAAAGCTGTATTATGGACTCATTCGATAGAGAATTTAATTATCTTTAATTTGTTGTACATATATTATACCTTGTATAGTTTTCACAAAACGAATTAATGTAAAAAATATATTTAAAAAAAAAATATTTTTACAATCCAGGGTTTTTGAAAAGTTTTGATTAAGAAAATGCTTTATTTGAGCTTTTACCGTTAATAGCTCTTGTAGTTGTTTCCCAAAAAAAATACAAAATATTTCTACCGCTACGCTCACTTCAGTGACCTCTATCAATCCCCGTATAAATTTTTTTTTAATTTGAGAATTGTAGGTATTCTGCATTAAAAGTAGAAACAGTAAAAAGTAGGGGAAATTTTAGTCCAGAAATCCACGCAAAGAATTTCACAAAAATTTATGGAAATATTACTATTTTTCGAACATGCAATTTTGGCACTTGGGGCATAATTCTAATTTCTATAGTGTATACAACTGGTTGGCATTGGATTTTTGTTGCAGGAATGTGTTTCTAATTTTGATGGTAAATGGGAAGAATTAAAAAGAATGGCACCTTTTTTGGCACTTTTATTTTTCTACTCGGCACATTTTGGCACTTAAGTATAGCTGGCAGCCCTGTCAACAGTGCTGCTGCGCAGTCGACTAAAGCAGCGCGCAGGTTTCTTTGCTATTTAATTACCTGTTTGTTTGATGTGCACTATGCACTATGTATATATATTTTTTACTTGCACTGTCTAATATGTAATGCATGTACATAGTTTTAGACTTTTTAGTTAACTTATTTTGATTCAATTACAATCTTTGCATTTGATTTTCACATTAATTTAGTGCACACACATTTATGTACATATCTAATCACAAATGTACCACCTACTGGTCCAAACCGGGCCAAAAGTAATAACGCTATTAGCGAACAGCTAATAGGCCAACACAACACGACTTGCTTACTCACAAACACGACCGATGCGTCCGTTTCATTCTCTAACTACCAAACTGGATTGACTTTTATATTTTATTAGCTTTCTTTTTGACGCTTTGGTTTTTTTCTTTGCAGCTAATGCATTCACTTTAGCTTTTTTCACAGAAGAATCATTGCTTTTACACACATTATGTAGTAAGTTTATAAATTGTTTAGAGCAAGCGGAGAATTTATACTATTTTAATTTATTTATATGTTGATATTTTAACACACAATTTCACAAATACAACAGCACAAAACGAGCACAAAACACGCCAATGGGAGAAAAGTTAATTGAATGAGGCAAGTTGAATAAACGCATTCTGTGAAGTTGCCGAAAAGATACCCGCAGCAGAGACGGGGGGATTGCACCGATTACGAGATGAATTCGCCGTAGTGATCGTTTTGACAGCTGATTGTAGGTCGCAGAGTTGCATTTTACGGCAGTTTTTGCCATTAGTGGTATTCATGGGCTGTGGGGGCCTTATTTAAAATGTAAAAAAATTAATGAAAAATATGTAAACGCTTGAGGGTACTTTTTGCCACTTGGAAGACAAAACTTTTCACTATCCATTAAATTATCGACGGCACTTCTTGACCTAAGTGCGAGAAGGAAAAAAGCGCATGTAGCATACATTTGTGAAATGCGCATCCAGGTACATAACCACGGATCAATGTTTTGGATACCCAATCCCTGCAAAAATCGTGGGACCATGTAGTCTATTTGTGGTATATTGGAGTACTTACAAAAGTGCTCCTCTGTCATGCTGTAGCGGACCAACTCGTGTCTCTGCACCAGCTTATTGTTACCCGATCACTGCTCGTGTTTTAACGAAATGTGATTGAAGTTAAGTATTTGAAAGTACATTTGCATGTCTGGCTGTAGCTGAACGTGTAGAGATGCTCGCTGTTAGTTCTTAGCTCCCAGCATGTTCGGGTTCGAATGTCGTCAGAGGCAACATGTAATTTTTAATTTTTGTTTTTGGTTTTTATTAATTTCAAAAAAAGCATCTGTGAAGTGAAGAACAAAAGCGTGTACAAGCGAAAAAATATAACGACAATGTCATTGGAGTATGTTGGGAATAGTTTTGTGCTACTCTGATGTAATGCAGAGATGGATTATATGGTCCTGCCCTAGGACATCGCAATGTTAATTGGACCATATTTTTTATATGAATTGTGGTTAATTTTGGTGTACTCCTTGGTCCTTCGGGAGTACTCTTTACATGCATGCATGGAGTAGTCGCGATTTTTGCAGGGATGGCGTGAGAAATTTTGGAATTGATTATGAAAAGTTGTTTCGACTTAACACTTTTTAAGAGACTCCGAAAAGATTGGCCGAAACTTGACAATACCATTTACACAACGTCAAATCCGAAGTGCCAGATGATGTTTGCAATTCAAAACTCTTCCGATTTGTGAAACAGCAGCTTGCGACTCAGAAACACCAAAGATATGATTATCGTGAACTGTTCGAGTTTAAAATATTTCTTGGCAGAGTTCCAAAAAATTGAATATCCTTTTGAATGCCGCGACCAATCAGACAGGCAAGTTCAAAGTTTATGCTCAAAGTTTATGTAATTAGGAACTAATTTCAATTGTTGAATAAGGTGAAGAACTCATAAAAGAGAATTAGTGTATTTTTTTTATCCATATTTACGTTAGAGCACGATATATGACAACAAAAGTAAGTGAAGCTACTGCAAAAAAGATTAGCTAGCCACCATGGTATTAAAGGCCAGATATAATTGCTCTTTCTTTATTCGACGATACCCCATGCGAATACCCGGAGCATTTTGATAAAAGTCTAATTCCACTATCCTTTGAAGTATTTCAATAATTTTAATAAACTTTATTTATCGATCCGAAATCCTTTCAACTTTATTCGAGCGATTTAGTTACACTGGTTGAAACCTGCAAATCGCGTTCGCTATTTAAGTCTTTCATTTGTGATTCAAAGAAAATCATAACCTAAAAAATGCAAATTCGTTTAAAAAGTGCCAACCCCTAACAAACGTTATGGCAACAGCTGTTCGCGCCTTTCACAAATTTAAAGGCATCTTCGCTGTAAGGCTGCTGGACCCCTCACTGTATATGTATACATAAATTCAACTGTAGCGGTTCCATTTCAATAATTCTCACCTTTAAAGACCGCCCTAATAAATATGTATGTACAAAAATGTTCCTACACGCATAGGTATTTCTCATTTATTATTGGACTAATATTACGCGCGCCGAGATTGTCAGAATATTCAAAATAATAGTAAAAGCTATAAAATATAACATCAATTATGCCATGGTAACAAATGCAATACACTAAAAACTTATAAATTATAAAATAGTATGATCATGAAATCACATGCCAGTATTATTAAACCTAACAATGATGAAACAATTACACAATTAAATCAGACATATGCATAAAATAATAGCAAGTTAAAGACAAAAAAAATTAACTGAATTTAAGCAATAACGGAAAAAGGACATACAGAAATACAAACGCAAATGCGAAATAGAGTTAAAAAAAAACATCAGATAAAGTGCAAAAGTGTAGAAGCTTACAACAAATTTAGAGCTATAAAATGTATTCGAATGGTGATATGACAATCAATTTGTTCATTTGCAAATGAAATCGGCTAATTATTATCTATGTATGCAGCTAGGTCAGTGCGTTTTGTGGCGCCTCAGAATTCATTAATTTCTTTCTACAACTATTTCTCATTAGAGGCGCCACCTAGGTGGGTAACTTAATGCTGCATGGCAGTCTCGTGTCGAAATTGTTTATTCTAATTGCAGTCTGAACTTAACTAATTTACTAATATTATACTACAAACTCCTACTGGCTTTTGAATATTGCATTTAAGAACAATAATTGCGCGTTAATAAAATCTAAAAGTCTTATACTATGTAAGTGGTTAAAAATAAAATATGTATTAACCTCTTTCTGAGAATTTTTGCTAGTGTTAAAAGGCAATTGGCTGTAGTAAAGATACTTTTTGTGTGAATCGATTGCAAACGCATAAGAGGTCAACATGAAGCGCTAGTGTCAATATGCTTTGAAGGTGTTGAGCAGCAAACCATGCTAACTTCAAGTTGGTCAGTCGGCGAAAGTGCGCTATCGCACTGTTGACTGGCGCCCATTGAGTATGTAGAAGAGCATCCACTGGCCGGCATTTCGTTAAAACCGCTGTCAACACGATAGAATAACGCACGCGGTTCCTCGCCGACAGTATCTTGGTGATTATCATCAATGACATACTTCTCATCCATATAAACTGCATCCTTTTGTAATTGCTTTTGATGCTTTTGCTGTTGTTCATGCTCTTTAACAATCAATTCATCCATAACGGTGATATCAATACGTGGCACATCTAGTGTCGATTTTTGCAAGTTTAACTTTTCATCTTGTTGCTTGACGTCTTCTTCTAGCTCGTCGTCATCAAGCCAGTTAAGCGAAAATGATTGCGATAGATTTTTACGACTTGCTGAACGTCTTTTGCTACGCGGTGTATCCGTGGAGCTCGAAGAACTGCAATTGAAATTTTGTGCAGACAGCTGTGACACTTGCATCTCATCATCATCGATCAAGTCATTAGTGTCGTCATGTGGGAACACGTCATACTCTGTTGGTCTGGTATCGTGCGACAGCGACTGCTTTGTAGATTTAGAACTATTCACAGCCAATCGACTTACTTTTATATTAAAACTGCTGTCTATTGATTGCTGGCCAATGGCAGCTACAGTTTCAGCAGAGCAAAGATTCAGACGCAACGGTGACGAACTGCCATCTGGCGTAAAATTTTCACTTTCATTATTCCGACCATTAATGTAAGCCAGTGAAATATCACCTAACGTCGTTGCCTCGCTTTGATTTAATGCATTACAACGATAACTATCCTTCGACGAATACTGTGATTTGCTCGTTTCCTGTGGTTTAACGAGACACCGCTTACTTGTTTGTCGTACTTGCGGATGTATTGGCGACAGCTGTTCTACATCCGAGAGATCCTGTAGAAAAGTGTGTATGCGCGGTTTCATTTCACTACGATTTTTATATGGCGAATGCGGCGAGTTGGAGAGTCCATCAGAGGCTGAAATGGGTGAAAGCGAGCCGAATGAACTCTTGTCCAAAGAGTCTGAAAGTTTACCAACAATGACAAATTGACCGCCACACGAACTACCGCAATTAGACGACGGACTGGAATTTGAATGCGTCATTTTACATTTGGCTTCTATTGTGGGCGTTCTCCCCTCTTCGAGCACTACAATATTTTTCATATCGAATAGATTTCGTCGCAGTGACACATCTTTAACATCATTAAATATAGATGCATGTGAATCGGTACTGAAGCGCATTTGCGAATCCGTCTCGCAGTTATGACGATCAGCCACCGCCAAGTGTGGTTGAAAATATGGCATTAATGCTTCTTCTAAAGCGCGTGGCAACACCACGGGCAATGATAGTTCGGTTTGCGTTCCGCAGTCACGTATGCGGCGTCCCGATTTTGAAATCGGGGTGTAACTATTTAATTCCGACAGAATGATGCGATGACTACGAAGGGGACACTCAACAGGACTTGGTACAATTTGATGCTCTTTAAAGTAAGAGCTTATCGCTGATTGTGCCTTGGCTTCATACTCGGGATCAGGCGAGTCGTGAAACTGTGTTTCATGTGGTTCGACATTCGCTGGTTTCAGGGAAGACACTTCATCTATATTCCATTCAAACTGTGTAGATGATAGTTGTGGCGTCGTGGGACGTTGAAACAGTGAGGGACTGGATAAAATTGCAATGAATCCAAACGAAATAAAGAAATATCTTGAAAAATACACTAACCTTGCAATCAATGGCAAATGCAGACGTTCCGCCAAGACAGGTTCGAATGGATTTCTTATGCGATGAAATCGCTTCGCTGGCGGAGTACTCAGCGCTGTAGAACAAGACATTTGCTTTGATGAACTACTCGACATGCTATTTATTGTTGTAGATATGCTACAATTAATTGTTTTACTTGGCGTTCGAGGATGCAGTATCTTCTTTTGGCATCTGCTACCTGCGGGTGCGGTAATTAACTCCACATTTTCGTTGTTTACTTTATGTGCTAACATCCCACTCATTTGCATTGTTGAGTATAGTTTAAGCGATGTTCTCGCCTTTTCAAATTCCATATTTAATAATATTGCAAACCTATATAAATTAATTTATTTTGTCACGAAACTGCGCCCGCCGCCGGTCAAAAATTCGAAAAATTAGCAGAGAAAATACAATTTCCCTAACAACCGTTGGCAGTGATTGCAGCTGGAATATTCAGTGCAANGATTGTGCCTTGGCTTCATACTCGGGATCAGGCGAGTCGTGAAACTGTGTTTCATGTGGTTCGACATTCGCTGGTTTCAGGGAAGACACTTCATCTATATTCCATTCAAACTGTGTAGATGATAGTTGTGGCGTCGTGGGACGTTGAAACAGTGAGGGACTGGATAAAATTGCAATGAATCCAAACGAAATAAAGAAATATCTTGAAAAATACACTAACCTTGCAATCAATGGCAAATGCAGACGTTCCGCCAAGACAGGTTCGAATGGATTTCTTATGCGATGAAATCGCTTCGCTGGCGGAGTACTCAGCGCTGTAGAACAAGACATTTGCTTTGATGAACTACTCGACATGCTATTTATTGTTGTAGATATGCTACAATTAATTGTTTTACTTGGCGTTCGAGGATGCAGCATCTTCTTTTGGCATCTGCTACCTCCGGGCGCTGTAATTAACTCCACATTTTCGTTGTTTACTTTATGTGCTAACATCCCACTCATTTGCATTGTTGAGTATAGTTTAAGCGATGTTCTCGCCTTTTCAAATTCCATATTTAATAATATTGCAAACCTATATAAATTAATTTATTTTGTCACGAAACTGCGCCCGCCGCCGGTCAAAAATTCGAAAAATTGGCAGACAAAATAAAATTTCCCTAACAACCGTTGGCAGTGATTGCAGCTGGAATATTCAGTGCAGTGTTGCAATCGCAGAAGATACGGACAGAGAACGTATATTTGGAACAAATGCCATAAAGCTTACGCCAGATAAAACGCATGCTTCGCTTTGCGTGACAGATTCGCTTAAACCTGATGTACAGTTCAATGCGATCGTGAGCGTGAGTTTTTTATTTTGACCAATACCTGCGTTATTACTCTACTTTTTGCTATATTTGAGACATTAAAAGATTGAGAATTAAGAATTATAGAATAAAAACTAATTTAAAATGCATAATATGCCTTTTTTTCGAGCTCACACTCAACTGTGTGCGTACGCAAAGCATTCGCATGTGAACGGCAAGTTTTGACAGATGTGGCATATTAACAGGTAAAGCCTGCTATACGGTTAACTAACTTTAACTTTTTGCAATAGTTGATACATCAAAAGACAGAGAATTAAAATATCATTCAGCATTATAGAATAAAATGTAATATAAAATGCATAATTTGCCTTTTTTCAAGCTCACACTCAACCTTGTGCGTACGCAAAGCATTCGCATGTGAACAACAAGTTTTTACAGATGTGTGTGAGCGTCCATAAGAATACAAATGGAATTCTTTGCCTTTGCGAACATTCACGCTCACGCTCGCATTGAAATGTATAGCAAGCTTAAGATGAATTGTATGAAAATGCACAAAACATGCCACATAGATCGTTGCAGCAGCAGCGCCAAGCGAAAAGATGACAAATTCCCATGCTCTTGCGCACGCGTTGACAATCAGCCGGTTTAATATTTATTTTGTTTCGTCCCTAATTCGGGTTTTCATGCAGAAACATAAAATCTGATTACATTCCTGATATTTTTTAAAGCTAAATATACAAAATGCATAGTACTTTTGACGACTAAAACAGCAGTAAAAAATTGCTTTCTTTGCGTTCATTGTGGCATGCCTTTTGCGCCTGCCACATTGCTCGCAAAGTTATGAATGTTACGCAAAGCCACACAATTTTATCTGGCATCAGCTTAAACGTACATTTCTCAACCAAAAAGATGGTGGGTTCTATAGATGAATTTATATATATATTACAACATTAATTTTTTTGGTCGAAACAATAAATGTAAGTTTTAAGTATACAAGGTTAAAAAGTAAAAAAAAATTGATTCTTCGACCTTCCATAACACCAATAATTATTTCCGCCTCAAAAAAGGAATACCGTTATAATCAGGACTAAGACCCCTATCAGTCCAATATAATTTTTTTTTAATCAGAGAAATGTACATATTCTGTAATTATACCAAAAATACATACAAAAATAAACAGTAAAAAATCGAGAGTGGAAGTCCAAACGAAAAACCAAAGACCGTCATTTCCAAGTTACGTTCTTTGTCGCTGACGTATATTTACCATGAACCAACTAATTAAAATGTTGTTTTTTTTAACAAATGTACTTTTTTCTTTAAAAGTCACGTTTTTAACATTATATATCAATATCAACATAAAAAATGTTATATAAAACATGTCTTATACGGTAATCGCATGAGGCGATTTTACAGTCAACTCTTAGTTGAAAGCAACAATCGCCTGGTGTGAGCGGCCTTTCAGCTAATCGCTCCAATGAAAGTGGTTGGTGCAGCCATCTTTTGATTCGACTAATCGCCTCTGAAATTTCCTGAAAAATCGCCGCATGCGAACACAGTATTATCTGAACAATCGCATGGTTGGTTCATGGTATATTTACGTTATCTGGTATATTTTCAGTGGCAGCCCCTTGGCACCCCTGAAAAATTTCCCAGCTGTCAGTCCTTCCAAGTTAGGCCTTGCCCTTTTTTCTTTTTCGTGGCATTCGTGAAATTACCCAAAATGCAGTAGTGCGAAACGGTTTGGGACTCTGATTCAGTTTTTGTTTTGCATATGGCACCACTAATTTTACAGCAGTTTTCGCTGTTTTTTCAGGCTTTCAAATTTTTTGCAACAACAACTGCACGCAGCATAAGGAGCGTTCCTTATCTCCCAGAAATAGTCAGAAAAAGTCCGAAG